TGATATGGCTCATCAAGTTTGGCGCAAAAATGGATTTTTGGGGTCACTTGAAAAAGAAATGTTGCCAGTAAACTCGAACAGAGGAAGTATTATTGATGATGATTTTATGCGGATTAATTGAAGTATTTTTTGATGGCAAACCCCACGCATGACGGTGGTGCCGCAGCAGCAACGCCGCCACGTCGGCGTAGGCCGGGTAAACACGGAAGCGACGTCTCCAACTTGGGAGAAGCTCTCGAATCGATACGTTTGGCCCAACGTGGCCGCGATGGTGAGGCTAGGGATGCCCCCTTGTCTGGTGGTGCTGCTATTCTCCACGTACGTCCTCCTCGGCCGTGCCGTGTTGTGGTGCCTCATGGTCTCCTCCTCTTGGCCAGCATCTTCAAAGCGGTGGGTTGACGGCACCACCAGCGCCAACGGTCTCTCGTGACGGTGGCATCCAAGTCCACCCCTCTCGATCGTTTACGAACCAGTCGGTGAAGATCGCCGTGCACTTGCCATGGACGGCCACGCCGCACCCGCGCACGCTCGTCCTCGGTCTGTTCCGAGCGAGTCTCAAGGACCAGTCGCGGCCCATCTTCATTCGATCGCTGCATTTCCAAGGGTCGACGTCGACGCGCGTCCAAGTTCGGGCGCCAAAAACGATCGGCGAGTTTGAGTTTCGCGTGTACGACGAGCTGTCGCCCGAGTCGCTCGTGCTGCCAGCGATGCCGCTGACCGTTGCCGTGAATCTCCCGTACACCACCACGTCTTTCGTACGTCTTACTTGGTTGCGTGGTCCTAGATACTTTGAGGAAAGCTCAAACACCCTTGAATCCAAGCTCGACCATGCCGTCGCGACCCAGGACATCCAAGCTGCCGTGGCGGCCATCATGGCATATGCCAGGGTACGAGAATCTAGTCAACGCCACACAAACATGTCTGCAGGTCCTGGAGGCCGTGCCGACGCTGTATCCAGCGCATGGAGCCCGCCTTAGCGGACTCTTGACGCGCCTCTTGGAGCTTCGGTGGGATATGGAAGAGTACGCAAATCAACATGTTATGCCACGTTGGAGCGAGAAATGGGTGGTTGAGATGCGTGTAGGTGGCATGACAAAGCCGACGACGGTGCCGAGAGCAGCGTCCATGGCGCGCTGCGATCTTTTCTCCACACGGTCGAAGCCAACCGTACGACGAGTTTGAACGACCCAGGACCAGTTTGACCACGAGTGTAGGCCACGTCTGGGACATCGTGGACCCCGCGACGCACCAAGCCATTGACTTTGCGCAGCGCCACGAGTACTGCGGGGTTCGTTTGCGTTCGTTTGCCAAGCGATTTGATGTTCGAGGCGGGATATGGGGTGTAGGTCGTCGATCGATACTTTTCGTCGTTTGCCGCCAAGCAAGACTTTTGGTCGGTGCACGTCGGCGTGCGGCCGCAGGGTACGAAAAACTCATGGCCGTGCACGTTTGTGAGAGCATGCATGGACAGAAACGACGTTGTCCACGTGGTGGCCCGCGCTCCACGTCGCCACCAACGTCTGGATGGACGATTTGTGCCGTCAACTCATGCCTGATTTGGCTGCGTTCTCCGCCACCCGCCAAACCATCTACGAGCGGGTCAGCGCGGTCGTTCAAACGATTCCGACGCCGCCCAACACAACGGTAGCCATCCATGCACGTGGGCGGCGGCCGGACGCGTGCGTTCAATGGCAGGCGCATTCTAGGTCGCGCTGGACGTGTTTGGTTCATCCAACAACTTTTTCGGGTCCATGGCGAGCGACATGGACATGTGCTTGGTGCGCCAGGGGGGGGGTCGAGAGCACTTCACAGACGACTGGCATGTGGCTGGCTGTAGGTCGTGCAGCCTCCCGTGCAAGACCCCAAGATCAAGCAGCGGCTGCTGCAGCTCCTCATTGCACGGCTTCCTCCCACCCAGTTTGCGCACGTGGGTACGTTTCCTGGTCGCTGTGACCGCGCCAAGTTATCCTTGTCTGTCTAGATACGGCCCGCCTCACGGCGCGCATTCCCATTGTGATGTTCCAAGACATTGCGTCGACGATCGAGTGCGACGTGTGCGGTATGGCCGATGTATCAACAGCCAGCAGACCAACATGATGTGGCTTGCGCAGTCGAGAATGCCCTGGCCCTGCGCAACACGCGCCTCCTACGCACGTACGCGTTGATCGGTACACACGTTTTAGTGTCGATGGCTCGCCACCAAGTGCGCTCATGTGGCAGACCCGCGCGTCCGGCAACTCGCGTATCTTCTCAAGCACTGGGTCAAGCAGCGCGGCATCAACAACGCCGCGGATGGCACGCTGAGTTCGTACGGCTACATCCTCTTGCTGCTGCATTATTTGCAGGTACGCACGGTTCAACGCACGCGGCATGAGTGCTCACTCGGGTCACAGCGAACGGAGCCACCGGTGCTCCCCGTCCTGCAAACACTGCCCCCGACGTGGCAAGGTAGTGTCTGGGATGTATCACTGTGTTTCGGGGACGTCGGACGAGGTGGCGCATGGCTTGACTCGCCGCGCCGTTTTTTCCACGTAGGCGCGATTCGATGCGGATGCTTGCGTGGCGACCCGCCCTGTCGTTTTCGAAGCCCGACATGTGCGTTGACGGAGCGCCTGGACGAGAGCGGGTTGCCCTCGGTGGTGTTTCAAGGCCACGGTACGACCAAGTGTCTATCGGATCGCGTGCTCTCTTGTCTCTTTCGTGGCTCCATGCGTTCTCTGGTCGTGTGTTGCCGCCATATCGTGGTGCATGCAATCGGGACGTGGCTTGAAAGTGGCGTGTGTCGAATGGACATCGAACCACATCGTCGTGGTGGTGGCAAATGTCGAGAGTCGATGCGGTGTTGTGCATTCGCGTTCTTGTTGCGGCATGTTGGTGCATGTGCTGTCGTCCTCGACAGGCATGGGCGTGATGGATTCGATCGCCACGACCGGCGTCTCTAGGCAACGCGATGGCAGCGACTGACCATCGGAGTCGATAGAAACCTACTTTTTCGACCCCGTCCAGGACATGCAGTGGCAGTGGCTGCATCAGTTTGCCGCGGCCAACACGCAGTCCGTGGCCCAGCTCTGGCTCGGTATACCGCGCGTCGCTCGACGTTGTCCACGTTGTCGTAGGTTTGTTTCAGTATTTCGACACATCGTTCGACTACGCGTCGCATGTGGTGTCGATTCGAATGGCGCGGTACGGCCTTTGACTCGATAAACGTGCCACCATGCCGACTCGCGGTAGACCGCTGTTCAAGGCGGAGAAGGCGCAGTGGAAATATCACGCGCGCCTCATGATTGAGGACCCGTTCGAGTTGGAGTATGACGTGGCCCATGTTGTCAAAGGCGCCAAGTACGTGTCGAGATCCAAGGCGCGCATTTTGTTGTTCATCACGGCGTCGTAGGTTCAAGCTCACGCGGCAAGAATGGGCCAAGATGCATTGGACATTGAGCCAAGCCAACGTGGACGAAGTAGCCGACGCCGATGCCGTGCTCGGCCAGCTCTTTCAGAAACGACACGATGGTGTCCGTGCGAAAGACGCCAGTGACAACGACACTGGCGGCGGCGGCGGCGATGTGGCTACTTAACTCGCAACGACGTGTCTCTCGGTGCCTCGCAGTGTGCGGACGGCACACCACCGACCGTACCGCGCGATGCACTGACTAAACGATCGAATTCAGACGCTTTGTCCGGTCGCACGACACTGTGTCCATGATGGAGGGAAGTGTGTGCTGTGGTGCTTCGAATGGACGTCATTTGCTGCTGGCATGCACTGCCATGCCGCAATGGTCACGCAATGGCCGTGAAGGATGGGATGGCCGTCGACTGCGCAGGATCGACTCGTCTTCCCCATGCACGCGATATCTCGGTTGTTATGCTGGCATGCCGACCGACGACTGCGTCCGCTGCGATAGCCCACTCGTCCTGTTTTCGTCGCACTCGTTGGTGTGCTCCGTGGCACGTTGTCCGGGCACCCACGGCACAGGAACCGCTGTCGAGTTTGGCGACTCGGACCACATACGACGCTTGGCAGTGGCGCATGACGCTCGTTCATGCCACGTGTCCCCATGCTGGTACACCATCGTCGACTGCGCTGTAGCCCGCATGACCAGGTCAATCACCCAACGACCGCTTCCTTGGAGAGAGGATGGATGTCGAACTTTGCCGATGTCGAGACATGCACGTTGAGACCAGACAGGGTGGCCCGAACTCGCGAATGCGTGTCATGCCCAGCGCGAAGTCGTCCCAGCGTACACCACGTTCTTGTTGAAACGAGTGTGTCGGCGTACGAGACGTGGTCGCCTCTGCTTGTGACGTTGGTGCGATCTCGACCTTGCAAGCCGTCTGCCGTTCAACTTTGCAATAGCCACATGCCGTCAAGGGAGGAGATACATCCCAAGACGACGGCCGCGATGTGGCGGATGGCCTGAAACCAAGTGGTGGGCGTCATCGGGGTCACGAATCGAGGTGTGCGACGACGTCGCTCAAGTGGGGCGCGGCCTCGATGTGGTTGTCTCGATCCACTTCCACCCGACACACTGGCCGCGCGCGATATCGCGTAAACAACGTCGGCGTAAAGCAGCAGCGCGCGACGGGATGCGTAAGCCAGTGCGACGCCAGCAAGCCACCACGGCGATTTTCAGCGTGCGTGCACACGACGTGCGCGCCGCCAAACGACTTTGTCGCAACACTTGAACGAAAATGGCGACCGGGCGCTTTGTGCAACGACTGCCAACGTTCGAGGGTTCCATCGTGGCGTGCTCTACCGCGCACAAACAACACCTAACGCGGCCGCCACCCCTGAACGCGCTCTCCGGCCAAGTTTGTCATGCGTCCCGAGCACAAAGAACCGCAACGAACGGCGTGGTTGGTCATCGCGCCATCCACGGGGATGCTTTTCTGGTGGACCGGCGTCGTCTGCGCTCCACGGGAACGATCATTCGTTCCCCCGCATGTTGTACGTACGTGTTCGATTGGAATAATACCTGGCGCGTCATTGCTGTCCAAAGAGTCGCCAGCAATGCGCCTCTACGACAAACGAGATATGCGACCACTTGTCAGCTATCCGACTGCCCCATGCACCGATCGCTACAACGACCGTGTTGGCAAGATGCATGTCTTGTGGGGCATGCGCCCCAATCGAAACGCCCCCGCACCGTCGTTTTGTTTTACATGGACGACATGCGTGACTCGGTCGAGTTTGTTTCAATCAACTGGTCGACTTGGTCGACGGGCATTCGTTGTGCGGTCGGACTCCCTGCGTCATGCAAGTGCTTTGAGCGCGCTTTGATAGTTTTTTTCTCGTCTTGCGTGTTCGAGCACATGGACTTTGGCAGCACATCAAATTTGGTCACATCACACTGCAATTGTCTGCGGTGCCGGCGACACCGCTCTGCCGCCGTGAAGGCGCGCCGGCGCTTGGCGGCTGACCCAACTGCATCCGTCGCTGTTGGTTGTAATGGCGCTCGGCGTCCGCTTGCATCTACAACCCGGATGACGACCCGATCACGCTTCAGTGTCCTTTCGTACCTGGAGTTCTTCTGCCGTTAAAATCAACAGCGACGGGTCGTTGCTGCCGCCAGGACGTAGTGGTGGAGGCTGCTGGGGTCGAACGATCGACGTCACCGCCTCACTTTGTCGAGCTGGCGACGATGGCCGCAGCGGCGGCGCTGCCATGCCCGTGGGGCTGTTTTTTGTCGTTCCTTGAGGGCTTGGTCGCTTGGCATGGCGTACGAATAGCGCGTCGGCTTCATCTTCTTCTTGCTGCAGCTTCAACGCCAACGCATAATCGTCCCTACCATCCAAGTTTTCGTCGAACACGATTGCAATGTAGACCAACGTGCACCGTACGCTAGTGTTGCGGCTGCCGCGATCGACGGACTATCGCGCGATGGGACAGCGGGTCGCGGAGCAGGCACTGGCGCGACCAGCGGAGCCTCGTCGTGAACAGTTCCCGACGATGGAGGCTGCAGCAACTCTTTTTGCTTGGTTGTGTCCCCAACCACAGGTGCAAACGTCATCGTGTAGTACTCCGAGTCGCCGTCAATCTACACCACCCGGACCACGTGTGAGCGAATGCGTGGAGCCCGTCATCGACACGGCAAACGACCACTCCATGCGCCGCGCATTCGTATGCACGAGGATAGAGGCACCTGTTCGAGCTTTTCCCAAATGACGTGGGGCTCGTCGAAGTACCCAGTGTCCGTGACAAGCAAATACAACGCGCCTTCCATCTACAAGCATCCGCCGTCCCAGGTCTGCATGAGTCGGTGTGCACGGCGGCGCGAGCGACGGACGGGGCTGCGCCACGCGCTTCCATGCGTACCTTGAAGATCGTGGCAAAGTGGTTGTTTCGGAAAAACACGGCCAGTTCCCGCTCCTTCATGTGTTCGTGGAGTCGAATCAACCCAACGTACGTCAATTGAGTGGCGCTGTCGGCCAAGAACGCATCGATGACGGGACCGTTGGCGGCGATTTGATTCAGCTTGAGCGCCGCGTCGTCCATCGACAGGCTGCGCTCCTTCATCAGGGTCGGAAGCGTCTGCTCCTTTGGCGCCGCGCACATGCTGTGGTAGTCAATGAGCTGGTCGACGACCTGATTGTACGACTTGTGCGCCTACACACGGTCGCGCGGATGACATTGGCCGCTACCACAACAACAACTCCATCGACGTGGATGAACCAAACACACATGATTATTGCTTCCATCATCCTGCAACTCGTTCGGGCCATGGGCACATGCAATCAGGTCGCAATGGCCATTCGTAAAACACATATCAACAAGCACGACGGGAGCGGCATGGGTTCGCATCACAGGAGTCATCCTCATGGCATAGCAAGAGCAACACATGACGTCGCCTCCCGACAAAGGAGATGCATGTACGTGGTTCGAGAGGCTAGGCCACTCCCACCCATTCCACACGACCAACCGAGTCGTGCATGACGTACCAGGAGAGAATACGCGACTGTGTCCTGGGGATCGACAACCCAGCCATGGACGAGGCGCATGTCGAGGAGATCGAAGATCGCGCAGGCGTTGGTGTATTCAAAGGCGCAGATATCGTGGAACTGCACATTCACGTCGAGGCCGACTTGGAGCGTTTGCAACAAGGCCACCACCTCGTTCAAGAGGACCCGTTCGGCCTGGTGGACAGATCGACGCATGGGGTCGACGACGTGAGTGATGATGGATCAGGCATGTTTTACCTCGTTGAAGTTGCGATTCGTGTGAAGAAGTCTGTTTTCGACTATGTGGACGACATCGCGCGCGAATATGTAGCTGGACGTTCCAGACGTGTGCAGCACGGCGTCGATGCTCACGTGGCCGCGAAGGAGAAGGACGTTGCAGATCGCGAGAAGTGGGCATGGGCCGTTGATATTCTGGCAAATGTACGACACGTTGCGCTGGAGGAACGTTGTGTGCTTGACCCAATAGTACGGTTCTTGTTGTCGAGGCGATCGTTTCGGCGTCGACGATGGGGACGTTTTCGGTGACGTTGACGTCGCGTCACTGGATGGCGTGGCAGCAACCGCGTTGCTACTAGCCATAGGAGCTGTCGTTGTGGCTGTCGTCGGCATGCTCTCGGCCACCGTCGTCGGTTCTCCTCCCATGGCGGCCGCGAGGGTGCCGGAAGAAGAATTCTGGCGATGTTCTGGGAATTGAAAGTGTTTTCACCAATCAGATGCGTGCGATGACCACACCCAGCCAATCAAAATACAGTAATTCACCAAGGTCGGATCCTGAACAAGAGCATCGCATGAGGTGGTGGCACCAGCGGCCCTCTCTACGCCATGGACTGCAGTAGAAGGAAAGGCCAGGACTGCTGCAACCGGAGCACGATACTGTAGGTGTGTGTCTGTGCCCTCAAAGTCGTATTGTCCATCTTAACGGAAGACTCTTTCCCTTCTTAGAGTGACAGCGACATGGGTGGCGTCATATACAGCGCCCGAACTCCCTCTGACCGACGATCCTCTCGCGCGATGGACGTTGTGATCGCCCAGGCTGTCAGTTGCTGACATGCCATTCTGTGTCAGGTTGTTTCCAGAGTCGTGTGTCCGACGAGGACCGGCCTGTGTTCCTCGTCAAGTTTCCATGTACTACAATATATTTTTTATGGAACGAAAATGTACGTTTTTGCCAAAACTTGCCTGTTAGCAAATAGTACAGTACATTTCACAATATGTCGAGTGATATTATCGCGCGTGGAGTTCCACTTGCCTTCCACAGGGGACATGTATGTGTTACTGCTGTTGTTTGCTACGGGACAGTTCACAATTATCGATGGCACGTTGACTTGGCAGCTTGGACGCTGCCTGCAACGCTGGCTGTAGCGCTGGAACACATTGGATGGCGATTCCAAAGCAATACTGATTCCAAGAGCTCGCTTCGCCTTCGCTGGGCAGAGCGAGCAAGACTGCGGCTTCAAGTTTCGGTGCGAAAAGCACGACATTCCTCAGACCTTGGACTCGATCATATTCCAAATCAAGAGAATATATACTTCGAAGTATATAATAGACAGATTCGCAAATAGAATCCACACGAATTTCACTGCAAGAATTTACAAAAAGTCTCACAGGAAATTTCCTGTGGTGAAGTGATTTCGCTACAGGAAAATTGTCAGTCGCCAGGCAATGACGAACAACGAAGCGCTCTTGTTGCCACTTGCGGCTCTTCTATTGACATGTATGGTTCAGACGTCCCGTGCAATCACTATCCCAAGTACTCGATTTGACTTTGCCGCTCAGACGGATGCAGACTGCCTCTTTAAATTTCGCTTCAGCAAGTGGGAGATCGTCGAGCTCGTTAAACTGCTTCGCCTCCCGGACACGATTGTAAGCCCAAGCAGGCACCGAGCAACCGCTCTCGAAGCTCTTTGCATCCTTTTGAATCGGTTAGCTTGGCCGCATCGTCTTGGATCGATGACGGAAACGTTTGGGCGAAGTCGAGAAGCCCTGTCATGCATTGCAAACTCAGTCATGCTGCACATCCACACCGAATTCTCCTCATTGCTGCGTTGGGACCACAGACGATTAGATGGTCAATGGATGAAGCTTTGCGGCGATGCCATTCATCGTGCAGGAGCCCCGCTGGAAACATGCATTGGATTCATCGACGGGACCGTCCGCGAGATATGCAGACCGGGCAAAAAGGTTCAAAAAGCGGCCTTCAATGGGCACAAGGTGAGTCGGTGGGTATCGTCAAGTAGTTGACTGTCATATATGTAGCGGAAACATGCCCTGAAGTACCAAGCTGTCACCTCGCCCGATGGAATTATCGTTCACTTGCATGGGCCGGAGCCAGGATCACGTCATGACGCTTACCTCTTGGCCAGAAGCAATTTGGTTGAAAATTTGCAAGACAGACTCTTTGTCAATAGAAGTCAGTATGTAATTTACGGAGATCCTGCTTATGGGAACAATGATGTGATTATATCTGGGTTTAAAGGGGCATCTTTGAACGCTCAAGAAGCAGAATTCAATCGTCAAATGAGTGCCGTTCGAGTGAGCGTAGAGTGGGGTTTCGGCATTGTTCGCAAGCTGTGGACATTTGTGGACTACAAGGGCAATCAAAAACTGTGGTTGCAGGCGGTTGGGATGCAGTACTCTGTTGCGGTACTCCTGACAAATATTCATACCTGCATGCGAGGAGGTAACCAAATATCCAGTTACTTCGGCATCTAGAAACCAACCCCAAGTGAGTACTTACTTGAAAAGCGCCAAAGATTAAAAATACAAAATTGTTTTTTGAGTTAACTCTCACACAACTTCTTCGCCAAACCACTAAGCAAGTCAATAGTGCTTTGCATGAACTGGAGTTGTGATTGACGCTCTTGTTGTTCAAGAGCAAATCTTGCTTCCCTTTCGGCCTTGTCAAGCAGGTATCGCTGTTCTTCAAGCTCTACTTTCCGCTGCAGCAACGCATTTGACTCCCTCTTGGCTTCAAGCTCGGCTCGCTTGAATTCGTTCGACGCATCGATCATCGACATAATGTCGACAACGGCAGAGGCAGCATCCTTCAGCGCCGACGGCCCCTTCGCTTCTTTCACCTTTGACGGACCTGGGTCTTCATCAAGACCGTTTGCCTCCGCCTTGCGTTTCAATGTTACGAGAGCTGCCTCGCGGACTCGATGGCCGTCCGACTCTCGCTTGTCTTGCTTCTTGATTTTCTCGTCCTTCAACGCTTTCTTGGCCCTGACAGCGTTCTCCATCTACAGTGCATGTTGTCAGAGGGATCAAACGAGGTCACAAACCATATCTGCAAGGTCTTGAAGGAGCTGGTCCCTCTCGTTGTACTCCTCCTCGGTGCCTGACGCTCGCAATGATTTGACAGTATCCTTCTTGAATGCCGCAATGAGATCATCGAGGCGCTTACGGCATCCAGCCGTCGTCAAGTCGGGACCATGTAATTGTCGCATGTGCTCGGCAATTTCTTCCCATCGAGCAGAAGCTTGTCCATACGGAGCATCATGTGGGCATACGAACATGGCCTCCTTGAGGAGATCAATGTCAACTTGAGTGGTGAAGCGGTAAGCTGTCTTTCGCTTGCTTCCTTCTACCTCGCTCATCCTATGGGTGGCCTGTGGGGCAAATGATTTCTATTGGCTGCCTTGTGTGGATTTGTCATCCCTGTGGGGCAGACTTCACAGGAAAATTTTGGCAGCAAATTTCCCTGTGAGATCTGACAAAGGCTCCACAGGGAAAGTTCACAGGAAAAATCTTGTAGCGAAATCTGTCCAATACATCTGTGTGAGTTTTACACTAACGTAAGAGACCAATTAATTGTGCACGGACCAATTGATTGTGCTCCAAAACCACCCAATCCGAGAGCGTAAAAATGTCGCGGCAAATCCTCCATAATGTCATACGGCACTTGTCAATTGGCGCCACGATGGCACACCCACGGTTCCGGTACAAACGCAAGGAATTGGACGATGCCGTCCGTCGTGTGTTGGATGGTACTAGTGGGAAGCAAGTGTCAAGTGCCACACATATACCTTACAATACACTGATGATGCATGCTCGCGCTGAGAAGTCCGGAAAGGACCGCGCGCGACGGCGTCCTGGTCCGAAGACTGCGCTAGCAAAGAGTTGCGAAGATGATCTTGTTTCCTTGATAACGGCAATGCAACGTGATGGATACCCTCTCGTTCGTCAAGCAGTCATGATCAAGGCATCGCAGCTGATGCGGAAGATCGACCCCTCACACACAAGATTGTCAAGTGGTTAGTACAAGCGCTTCCGTCAGCGTCACCCGATTTTGACCCGCCGAATTGCTCAAGTCACCAGTCATGCAAGAAACTCCGTCGACCCCGCAGGTGTCGAGCGCTTGCACGAGACACTGTCGAAGACGATATCCGAATACGGTCTCACTGCTGAGCGCATATTCAACATGGACGAGACGGCGTTTACGTCACGCAAAAAGGGAAGTTCTGTTATTGCGCTGAAGGGATCCCAAAATGTGTGGGCTAAATCAGTTTGTCCGAATTTTCACTTGTCTATTGTTGCATGTGCTAGTGCTTCTGGTGTTGTATTGCCCCCATTGTTTCTGTTTCCTGGTGACACGGTTGAAAAAATATTGAGAGCGGAGTGTTCGGTGTAAAATGCAACAATTTCTACCTCCCCAATGGGTTTCATGAATGAGGAATCTTTCACGGAGTGGATTAAACATTTTTCAAAAACCCTCAATGTTTCTCGCCCAGTTTTGTTGATTTTCGACGGTCTAGCATCCCATTATTCACAAGCAATTGTTGAATTATGTACCTCAATGAAAATTATCTTGCTTTGTCTTCCTTCAAATGCTACGCATTTATTTCAACCACTGGATGTTGCTGTGTTTGGCCCGTATAATACTGAAATCCGTAGAGCAATTTTTGATGGAATGATCAATGATGGTACGCATTTTTACGATTAAAATCGGGCACTGATGTAACAATAGATACTGGCGATCTTCACTCCATTTCGAAGGCATCGGCCCTCCGCATCGCGTCCGCAGCTTGGAAGGCGCGAATGTTGCCTACAAATGTTGTTAGTGGATTTACTTCCACTGGGCTCTGGCCTGTTTCAATCGAGAACATGATGAAACGCTACAACCTTTTTAAAGACGGTGGTGTACCAAGATCGTACCTGGACGCCTTCTGGATTGAGCGGCGTCAGGTCTTGAGGACCGAGATGCTGTCCTTGCCTGCGAATGCGAAGAAAAAAAAGTCTCAGCGCAAACGAATTGACGTCGGTGGAAGAATCCTTACCTTGGATCTCTTGAACGAGATCGACAAGACCAAAGAAGAGCGACTGGCTGCGGCCAAGTTGAAGGCGTCCCTACAAGAAAAGCGTGGGAGGCATGGGAAGAGAGGGAAGCGAATCACCTTGTCGAAGGTTGTGTTGGAATGGGCCGCCACCGCAGCGATACGTGGCTTAAAACCTTTGCCTGACGGTCAGATTAGGATTAGCAACAGTGAGGTTGTCGTGTAATACTGCATACATACTTGTCCGTGCATTCCAGGGCTTGTGCTTGTCAAAATTGGAGCGTGGCCAACCTGTGTAAATGAAATACCTCCGTTTGTCTGATGTTTACCTCTTGACACTTGTTACCCTATGCGCGAAAAATATATGCAATTTTGCATACAAAACGGAAGTTTAAATAGTGCACAAACAATTGGTCGTATCGTGCTAGCTGAATTTGCTTACATTCTTTCACTTTTGGAAGTCGCAAGACTCGCAATTGGACAGGTAATGTGCCCTGTCGAATTGCTCGTTGTCTCAGCTTCATGAGGCGCATTTTGGAGTTTGAATTTGATGCCTCTACGCTGAGTAACATGAAGTCTACCTTGAGGTCTCAAAAAGTGCACAAACAATTGGTCCCTTACGTTACAAAATTTGTTGCGCATCAATTCTTGTGTGAATGCTACATTTTCACTAGACAATTTCACAAAAATATATCGACAGCAAAATCCATAAAAAATCTACGTTAAATTCAACTCCCGAGTTTAGCTCATCTTCGCACTATAGAACTCCAAAGTTCGAGTGATACTATGTTACAATAGCCTGCACCTCGACTTGAAGTTTGTATTCTTTATCGGTCGTGATTTTGTTTTTGTAATGTATATTCGCTTGTACTTCTGATCGGGTATTTCTCAAGATCACCCAACGAGTGGAAATATTTCTCACGATCGTCCAAGTTGAACGTACGTGAGGTACTACGAAGTATTTTTACTGAAGTCCCCCCGACTTGGACACAGCACAAAATACGAAGTTCTCGCAGTTAATCAATTTCTGGAGATATTACTTATCATAG